AACTTGAGGGTCATAAAGTCTGTTCCTTTGGTGGCCTATAAATGCTAATGAACGTTATGTAAACAAGTCGGTAACTTGAGGGTCATAAAGTCTGTTCCTTTGGTGGCCTATAAATGCTAATGAACGTTATGTAAACAAGTCGGTAACTTGAGGGTCATAAAGTCTGTTCTTTTGGTGGCCTATAAATAGTAATGAACGTTATGTAAACAAGTCGGTAACTTGAGGGTCATAAAGTCTGTTCCTTTGGTAGCCTATAAATACTAATGAACGTTATGTAAACAAGTCGGTAACTTGAGGGTCATAAAGTCTGTTCCTTTGGTAGCCTATAAATACGGTCCATATTTTTACATGAAGTAAAAATGTAAGACTTCTATTGAAACTTCTCTATTTTCTCTTTTAACAAATGATGCTCTACGAGTCTCTAATACTACATAGGGAGCAAAGTGTGTATGTACATATATACTTGATAAATAAAACGATCGTAATTAGTTCAGTGGCGTAGGACTTTTTTTAAACATTAAGGACAGTTTCAACCTGGCGGTAAATAATTGAACGTAAACTTCCTTTTTTTAGGGGATGTTATAATTATTATTTTTTACTTTATTTTGCTAAATTAACTTCGATTCTCCCGACAACACGTCTTCATCGATAAGTATAATAAACCATTGGGTTACTCTGTAACTACAATTTAAAAAAAAGATCACCGACGTATATAATATCTGAAGACGTAATATGAATTTCATTGAATGCTTTTATTATAAAGTATGAGAAATTACTTCGTGGTGACCAACTATAATCTCGAAATGTCTATTAGTATATTTCCTATCGTCTATTAGTATATTTCCTATTGTCTATTAATATATTTCCTATAATCTATTAGTATATTTCCTATTGTCTATTAATATATTTCCTATTGTCTATTAGTATATTTTCTATTGTCTATTAATATATTTCCTATAATCTATTAGTATATTTCCTATAGTCTATTAGTATATTTCCTATAGTCTATTAGTATATTTCCTATTGTCTATTAGTATATTTCCTATTGTCTATTAATATATTTCCTATAATCTATTAGTATATTTCCTATTGTCTATTAATATATTTCCTATAATCTATTAGTATATTTCCTATTTATATACATATATTGAATACCACTTCTTAAAAAAAGCATATTTCGTTGTAAGTGAAAATAAACGTTCGAGAACAGGTAAACACCAGGATATAAAAAGTGAAACGAAGGTGTATGCCAGCTCTGAATTTCATTCACAACCTATAATTTCCATTCTTGTATATGATGTAATAAACGTAAAGAGAACTGTTTTCTTATTGGCTAAGTGATCACAAACCCATTTCGCCCGGCTATCTGAGGCCTTGCCCTTCGTTTTAAACATTTTAGGAATCTTTCATAAGTTGTGCAGCTCTCTGGGCCTGTGTTTGCTCGATTGCTGTACTTGTTTGTGTCGTAAACGGTGTATGTTGAAAACGTCCAGCATCTGATAAGATTTAAGAAAACCACCTTTAGCAGAAGAAAGTGGAGTCACGTGCTGTTGGGTCCCGGACTCCCAGTGCTCAGCGCGAATGGATTTTCGGCACGTGTGAAACATTGAAGCACGCGACTAGCGCGCGGTAATATCACGCTATCGTTCTTCTTACAGAGAACGCGCTTTTAGATGGTTGTGTGTGTGTGTGTATGTGTGTTGGCAGAAGATGTAATGGAGAAACTGCCTCGATAAGTGAAAAAGTTGTCGGTTCATCAAATTAGGGCACCCCATCAACGCGAATTTTTACTTTAAATTTATATAGATACATATTTTCTATATTACATCTAGAAGCTGACGGAAGAAGAAAAAAAAAACAGCATTAGAACACGATTTTATCGAAAGAAAAGTACGCGAATTAGGGAACGTTCTCGAAATATCTGTATGTAAATATGTAGTTTTTTTCTTTCAACTCGAGATTCGAACCGCAAGCTGTTTATTTCAGGTATTGTAAGATATCTTTTTGAGCAGCTCAGTATAAAAACCAAGTGCCGGTTCTTTAATTCAGTATAAACAGGAATTATAAGTTGATATTAAAGTAACCTAATGCTATTGTATAAAGTGTTGAGGAAGATGTAATTAGTTTAGCAAGGGAATATTTAAGTTATCCCTCATTTACTGCTATGAATAATGGATTGAAAAGCATTGAAAGTTTCAAGCGTTTTTGGTTATTGATTTTGTGTGGAAGTATTTCGATGATTCTAGAGTTCGAAGCAACGGGTTTGAACTGAGTGTGTAAAAACCATTCACAAATCCACAATATAAAACGACTGATTGTTTTCCAAGTTAAGAATGTCAAATAAAAGTGGATTTTGAACCAGTAGAGAGGAAATTCTACTAACCAGTCTAAAGCTGGAAAAATTTATTTTCGACAAATTATCATTACATTAATATATATATATTTCCTATGACATCGTTACTTCATTTAGGTAACACTATGGAGAATTTATACTGGTATTCTACACAAATTTGATATATTCTCCTGAAGAATCCACTCATCTATATATGTACATAATAGACGGCCGCTCCTTTTATTGTCACTGAAGAAACTTTGACTTGTCTTCAAGAATGCTGTATAGGTTCGTTTTGGGAGTATCGAGATATTGCCATTGTCATTTATTCCAGATTTAATTTTGCAGTATAGGAGCATGTTTGTTGTGTTAGTTTTGTTCTAGAAACACGTGGATTGATTAATGTTTATCAACTCAATAACATTATCTGATCCAAGACATCTGATTCAAATGTGTGATCTTCATTCAGTTAGGAAGGAACTTCATCATTAGCTTGGTTAAGGAATAACCACTTTCGTCTTATTTATAATATTCTCGTAATTTAAACGATAAAAAAAGCCTTTCAGTATGCTAAAGAAAGACCGGCCAACTTTGACCGTGACCTCTTTGCTTTATGGGCCCGCACCCACAGCCTCAAATGTCAACTGGATACAGTCATCTGGGTTTGCACAGTTCACAGGTATTCAGGCTTATATTATTTGTAATTTATATTTAAGTATCTGTCTGATACATATAGTATGCAATGGTGTAATAAATAAATAAATGGACACTGTACCAAAAGATTGAAAATTTCCAGTATGCTGTGTAAATGAATCTGATAACTTGTAAATTTAAGTAACCTAACCTGTAACCTCAATAAAAATATGAAAGTACCGTAGAATGGGGGTTTCTAAGCTACAGATAATTTTTTCACATATAAACTTCAGTTTAAGGCTTTGTTACTGAGCCTTCTAAGTTGCATTTAATTTCAATTTAAAGTTTTATTTAGAAATAATAATAATAATAATAACAACATTAATCTGTTATGGATGTCTTTTTTAATTCTGAAATTATCAAACGCTCATCTGCTTTATAGTATAGGACAAACAATCTCCAAAATTCACCAGAACTTGGGCTGATTTCTGTGGTTTGGTTTATTTGGAATTTCCATCTCTAATTTAGCACTAAAAGACTAGAGGGAAGGCAGCTAGTCATCACCACCCACCGCCAACTCTTGGGCTACTCTTTTACCAATGAAAAGAGGGATTGACCATCACAATATAACACCCACACACACATAACTGAAAGAGAATGTTTGGTGATGGGATTTGAGCTCACGACCCATAGATTGAGAGTCAAGTACCCTAATCTCCAGACCATGCAAGGCCCCAAAACTCAGTGAAACAATGGAGGGAAGGAGTTAATCTTAATGTGGACTATTGAGAGAATTAATTTCTGGTTTTTCATCGCCCATTTTGATGTATTTGTTGGTTCTAATCTGATGTGAATAACCAACAAAAAATATAATTCAATTTTTTTTATGTACACCCCTTACACTATCAACTTGACATTTCTAGTTTATGTAATCTAGATATTATAAACTTGAATTAGACTTTCGGCTGAATTTAAATCTAACAATTATGTACTTATGAGTTACGTACACCTCTAGAACCCATTCCTATTTCATCATGCGACTACTTACTCACATTGTTAAACAACAGTTGATCTAAATGGGTGAACATAAATTATCTTGACCGTCACATTATAATGCCCCCACGGCTGAAAGGGCGAGTATGTTTGGTGGGAAGGGGATTAGAACCCGCGACCCTCAGATTGCGAGTCGAGCACCCTAACCATGCCGGGCCAGAGGTAAAAGTATTCATTAGCATCAACTTTCGAATTCAGAGCTCGATACACTGACCACTAAACCACACCCGGACCCCGTACGAAGGAAACGAAAAGCTTTGTTAGGATGAATATGAACAAAATAATTTACATTTGGGAATATTTTGTATGCAAAGTTATGCCGACATAAAATATTTCATTGTACATTGCAAAGATTAACGGTCGTAGAACAAGGTACCTAACCACCGAAAAAAAAAAAACAGTTATACGTAATTCTATATAAAAGCGGTATAACTGATTGAGTTACATTGAGTCAGTATCTACACTCGCACACACACAGATATATACATAAACATTTAAGAAACGTTTTTGGGAGGACACAACAAAAGCGCCTCCTTGTTGTGTTGTTTCAATGTATTTACAGTACTTATTTTAAATGTAGCAAGAACACTTTTTAGCCCTTTCCACATTAACCACGTATCTGTTTTTATCCCTTTCCACATTAACCACGTATCTGTTTTTATCCCTTTCCACATTAACCACGTATCTGATATATATTTATTTATTCAACCACGTATCTGATATATATTTATTTATTCAACCACGTATCTGATATATATTTATTTATTCAACCACGTATCTGATATATATTTAGTTATTTAACCACGTATCTGATATATATTTATTTATTTAACCACGTATCTGATATATATTTATTTATTTAACCACGTATCTGATATATATTTATTTAACCACGTATCTGATATATATTTCATTTATTTAACCACGTATCTGATATATATTTATTTAACCACGTATCTGATATATATTTATTTATTTAACCACGTATCTGATATATATTTATTTATTTAACCACGTATCTGATATATATTTATTTATTTAACCACATACCTGATATATATTTATTTATTCAACCACGTATCTGATATATATTTATTTAATCACGTATCTGATATTTAGTTAACCACGTATCTGTTATTTATTTAAGTATTTCTTTTAATACTTTTAATCTACTCTTTTAGTATTTGTGTTCACTGCAAATATAGCCTTGTTTGTGTGTGCTTCAGTGCAAAGACTACACGATGTACTATCTGCGCTTTGCCAATTACGAGGAATCGAACCACGGATTTTAACGTTCTGAGTCCGTAAACTTATCTCTGACCCACTTGGGCGAGGTGAGGCATATATAGAGCCAGTGCTTTTAGCATGGCATTCTCATATAGCGGTTTCCAGGAACAGATTGAGGAGGCGGGGCTATTGGAATTGTAGCCCCAGGCACGGGCTCAAAAAAAGGCCCGTTATGAATTGTTGTTGTTTTACCTTAATCTTTAATCGCGATAATAATAGCCCCGATAGAAAATTTTAGCCCCAGGCCCGTCTCATCCTTAATCCGTCCCTGGCGGTTTCATATACAACTTTTAAGATTCAGTAACTAAATCCTGTACAAATAAGAGACCGTTTCTTTTCAGTGTTTAGGCAAGGAATCTATTAGCGACGAAACAATAAAACTTTCTACTTAACGTAATGATTTTTCATAGAAATTGTCCGAATCTCCCGTACCACCAAACATGCTCGCCTTTTCAGCCGTGGCAGCGTTATAATGTGATAGTCAAACCCACTATTCGTTGGTAAAAGAGTGGCCCAAGAGTTGGTGGTGGGTGGTG